GGGGAATGAGGCTGAGAAAGGCAGAGAAATGCTGGAAAAGGTTGGGCGAGATCAAAAGCGGGCAAAGCGGGAAGGCCGGAAGGCCGGGGAGGCCGAGGTAGGGATTGGTGCGTAGGTCTGGATGATGGATTTGTCGGGAGAGTGTGGGAGTAGGGAGGAGTAGGAGTTGGGGTAAAGCAGGGAGAGGTTTATGCTGAGGGAGGGACACGGAGGGCTGGTATGTATGGTGACGCGGCTGGGTGAGGGTTCGTCGGGGGAGCGTTTTGGGTTGCGGTGTGTGTGTGCACTGTGAGTGTGCAGACAATCGAGAGGGAGTTGAAAGGGAGTGGGGGGCTGGGTATGTCGAACGGAAGGTGAGACCCGAGACGAAGGGGGGGACGAATCTTAGAAAAGCATAATGGGAGTTGAGCTGGAGCGGGGGGCTGGGTACATCGAACGAGCGATGAGAACCGACCTAGAGAAAAGAACAAAACATGTGACGAGGGGGGGGCGAACTTAGAAACTTAGAATGGAGAGGTGGTTAGTGGAGAAAGAAAGAAGAAAGAAAGAAACAGGGGAATGGGAGTGGTGGGGGGGAGGGGAGTGGTGAGACTTGATCTCACTCAATGTTTGCTCTTTCTTAAGTTGGTCGTAGCTTGGCCTATCGATGAGTTTGCCAGCAGCCTTCACCAATGCCTTGTATAGTAGTCACTTAGTAATCACTTCCGGACAAACGCCAGGGTCGATGCGACAGGATAACTCTTGAGTAGCCCTCCGAGTCTTCCTTGGTTGGGGAGCTCGTACCAACCTAAATTCGTTTTTGCGTGTCCCCCCTTCCCCAAGGTCTTGGCCAGGTGAGTGATCGTGGTTTCTCCCAGGTCTCTCCCAGGTCACTCTTCTCCGCTCGTGATGATGGCCTAGGCGCTCGCGCGCCCGGGCTTTGTTGTCTTTGTCGTCGAGCTATGGCTGTTTTGTCGTAGGTGTTGTCGCTGTTCCTAGTTCGGGCGAGGCGCGGTGCCCGTCGCTTTTCAAACTGGAGAAATCGAATCGCGGACGCGCGCGCGGCAAGGCTGCGGGCGTGAGCGCGAAAAAAAAATTTAGCGCTGCTCTGCGCTAACCGGGAGGCGCGAGCGCGAAAATTTTTTCGTGTTTCTGAAATTCTGTTCTCAGTGTGATAATCTGATTCAGAAAATATATTTTTTTTTTTCTTTTTTCTTTTTTTTTCTTTTTTTTTGTTCTTTTTTTTTTTTACTGGTCGGCAGACCGCCGACCGGTCGGCCCAACAGGTCGGCTGCAATACGGTCCGCGGTCAGGGTCGGCGGTCGGCAGGGATGCAACCCTGACCTAGACCTCTAAAATTCTCTAGGCCAGAGCTCGGTAGGACCCTGTAGGCACAGGCAAAATTGGCATAGCAAAAAGTGACAAGCTAGGACTACAGTTCATTCATTTTTCAGTTCGTGATTTTGGTCAAGTGAAGAGGAGTTAAAGGGCCTTTACCCGATAAAGGCCTTGTAAAAGTAAAGCATCATGAAGGGGTATCTCGCCAGGACCCAGAAACGTCAAAGCAGGTCAAAGGTCAAGTTCTCTTGCAAAGGGCACATCCTAAACTAAAGCAAAGGTCATTGCAGCAAGACATACCTGTTCGCCAGGAGATGC